TTTATATAATTTTGTTTAATGCTCTTAGATGAATTCAGTTTTTCTCTCTCTGTTAAATATTAGTGTAGGGGAATTGGAGTTTGATTTAGCAAAAAAGTGCCTTAAAAAAGAAAGAAAAAAAAAAAAAAAGAAGGGAGAACAATATTTGTGTATTATTTCTATTAAATCCATTTTAGTAAATTGATGACGCAGACAAGAGGCAGATTTTTTTGGTGTTCTCTGCTTGCAGGGGGGTTTCTGTCGCTTATCAGCACTGTATATTAAAGACATTTCCTTCACACCTCTAAAACCATTTACATACTGAAAACTGTAGATGTTTTGCAAAAGTGATTTTTTAAAAAAAATACAGTTTTTTAAATAATAAGATTAAATTACTGAATAATTTTTCAAGAATTGCTAGATTTCCATATGCTTAAGGATTCCAAGTGGTGAGACTAACAATAACAACCATCTAATCTGAGGTGAACTATATGTTTGATGAGAGAGTTTGAGTTCTGAGGTGAAGTAAAAAAATTACAAACTTTGAGTGATACATTTGTCTAACGCGGATTTGGTGACTACTCAATTGGTTTCTTAGAAAGCTCTTTGTGAAGCTCCTCAGCAGTATCAAACCTACAAACATTGCACTGCTAGAATAAACATATTTTGTGAAATGTCCTGAAGGCAGGATTCTTGTTACTAGCTGTCAAGGGCAAAAAAGAAAAAATCATTAAGGTTGCAGTACAGAGGCGAATACAGAGCCAGCCGCCAGGGTCATGTTCTAAACAAACCTTCATTAAGCATTCTTTGTTACTGTTGTTAGCCAGTGTATTATTAAATACAACATTAATTAAAGAGTTGCATGTTATGAGGGTGCTTTTTCATGAAGATCAGATTGCATTTTCACGTGCTTCAAGAATGTACTGCCGTCTTACTGCATCTTTTGGGTGTATTCTCTCAGTAGTTATTAAAAAAGCAGACCCCAACAACCTAAAACTGATTCTAGATTTGTATTTTGTGTGTGTATGCATTTATTGTCTGTATATACCTGCAAGATATATATTCTAGTGCCCCTTTTCTCAAGCTTTAAAATCTTTGACTAGAATTAAAATGATGTAGGAATTACTTGGCTTTCTTTGCTGTAGTGGTTGAAATTAGAGACCTCTTCTTACTGTCTAATAAACAGATCTTAAAAGAACATGTTTTTCAACTTAGAAGGGTGTAAATTTAAGCAAAATAATAATTTAGCTTACATTAACTCAGCA